TGCATATGGCGAGTAGCGGAGCGGAGTGCAGAACCTGCTATTTTGTATTTTAGTGTATTTGATCTATTAATGAACGTTCGGGGAAAAAAGTATAAAAGCAATAATAATAATCATGAGTAGGTGAGTTCTGCGCTCGACAGCTGTACCATGGACACACACTTTGACGTTTCAGGGCTTTTTATTTTTATTTTTTATTTTTTTTTGGTTCAGGGCTAACCTTCCGCACGTCGAACACCTGTTTCTTCCTTTTTTTTTTTTTTTTTTTTTTTTTCCCCTCAGCTCAACGAACGTCGAACACCTGGGCCGAGGTCCCACTAGCAAAAAGGATGGGATCGAGCTCCTGCAGTTCAATCTCGATTTCCTGCACATCTCCATAACTCGTCCAGATTCGGGCAGTCTATCCGATCCTCTTTGCCAGTGGGACCACGCCCCTGTTTCTACTTTCTTGGTGTCTTTTTTTTTTTTTTTTTTCTTTTGTTTTTTGGGAAAAAGCAAGGAATTCATTATTACGAACCATGAGGCCGGGAATTCCTCACAAACAACCCGGAACATGCACACATACCAAACTGGGTTTTTGGCCCAGCACTCTTCGGGGCAATCCCCACTACTCAGTTCTCAAAATTCTTACCACCTGTTACCACCTGCAAATCCTACCTGCTTATCTCTCTTATCGTACTACTCCCCCTACCAATATCCTACTCCTAATCCCTGCCCTACTACCAGGGTAAGACCCCCGTTCCATGCCTATATCGGCATGGTGGAACTCCGTCCTCTATGTCCTGGACACTCTCCTATCCACCCCTGCCCTGCCAACTTCCTACTGCGGACAAACACAACCGAGTGCGCCTGGTTTATACTCTTCTACCATCTACCTAACTGGTAAGCCAGTCTGCAAAACAGATCCCCTTGCTGTCAATCGAGCCCATTTTGCCTCCTTGAACCCATGTATCCCGAAACCAGATTCTGCCGCGCTCGTTTCTTATCCCGCTAGAGGCCCTTCTTCTCCAGTCTGCTGCCATCCTCCTCCTGATCATTATTCTAAATGTTGCTTTTATCTCTGGGTCCGACAGTGTCTTTCCCTCGAAAAGAGCTTTGTTCCTTTCCTTCCAGATGATCCGGAACCCGACTGCTCGAGCTGCTTGCACCACGACCCCCAACCTCTGTCTAGTTGCATGGTGTCAGGCAGACCTCCCAGCAAAACCCATTCTTTATTCCATTGGAGTTTACTCCCTGCCCATGCTGCCCACTGCTGAGCCCACCAAGCCCAGATCCTTCTGGATGCCGGCCAGTCCCACCACACATGGATCGTCGATTCGAACGACCACAAACACCTTTTACACTGGGTTTCGAGAATCATTCCCTTACTCGTCAACCACACTGCTGAGGGGGTGGCCAAGAGCGAGGCCAGCCACAGTATGACAGCTGCTCTTGGATTCGGGGTAATATCCGTTAGCTGTTTCCAACACTTCTGCAGTGCCTGGCTGATTATCCTCCTCATCCACTGGGATCACTCTCCTCCATCTTTGTATTGCAATTGTTAAAGGAGTACGTCCCACCGCTTGTACTTCGCAAGCCAATTCCAGTGAGAAGCCGTCCAATTTAGCGTGCTCTCCCCCTGGTCCTCTGCTCCTCCATGCCCATTGGTTTGGATCGGCTTTTAGAGCCGCCAATGGGGCTCCGCCATTCCACAGTTTCACCTTCCACTCCCCTTTATCATCGATTGTTTCCCTCACCCTGATCTCCTCTAGACTCCCCTTTGTGACAGAGGTGAGGCCTTCTTCCTCACAGAGCACCAGGTCGCCCCTCGAATCCAGCTGCTGCCATTTTTGAAACTTCCTCCCATTTTCGTTAAGTTCAACCAATTTCAGAAATGAGAGTGTGACAGGTTGACCTCTCTCCTGGTCCTCCTTCTCTTCTACCCAGGTCCCAGGTGGATTGGTTCGTTCCGGTGAGAGAATTAGTAGTCATTCCTCCGGGAGGGCCTCCAACACTTGACTCCTTCTTTGTCTCGTGTACGTACTTGGTCTCAGGAGATCATCCAGTTCCTCCCCTGTGCACCACGTTCTTGAGTAAACGTTCCACTGTCAGGTCCCTCAGTCTCACTACCCCCTTTTCCACCCAGGCTCTGCCGAAGCTGCCTGGTTCTGCATTCGCCATCAACATCCCGCCTGTGGTTCCTCTTATACGGGGATTTTTGAAAATAATCTGAGACAGAACCTCGTCCTTCGTACTTGGTTCACATTGCATGTCTGGTTTGACTTTTCTCCATGCTTGCAGCACTGCTCTCCAGAACTCTGATTTCAGCTTTCTTCGGAGGAAGGACTCTGTCCATACACAAGCCCAGACGTCTGACCGTCGGCGAAGGTGGCATTCTTCACTCAGGATTCGGTCCCCTAGGGAGATCCAGTGCTTATCCTCTTGTGCTGCGATGACCTTTACCACCCATCTTGCCAACATCGCCAAATTCCTTTTCCCTGGGTCTACCATCCCCAGTCCCCCCTCCATCCTAGGCACACAGATCAAATCCCAAGCCACCTTCGACATTACCGCGTCCTCTTCTTCTGCGAAAGACTTCCATATAAATTTGGCTGCTTTCCTTCTCACTACAGCTAATGTCTTCTTGCCCACAGGTCGCACGTTCCCCACTAAGGTGAGGAGGGTGAGCAATGTTGCGTTTACGACTAACGCCCGACCGAATATGGACAGGTGTGGTGCTTTACTCCAAGTTGACAATCTCTGCAGCACTTTAGACTGCAGAATTTTTTCTTGTCTGAGAGCACATGAGGTGAGAGCAACCTGCACTCCCAGAAACCTCTCCGAGTCGTTGTTTTGAACCCGCTTCATTCCCCAATCCACTGCCGGTGTATACGTCGGGGGGAGAAACGACACCGATTTAGACCAATTGATCGCTGCTTCCGACAACTCCTCGTACTGTCTCAGACAGTACAGCAATGCGGACAGTGAGTCTTTAGTGTTGGCTGAGACCGCAAACAGGTCATCAACCAAAGCTTTCACTTTGCATGCCCGCTGCCCCACATCTATCCCTACAATCTGAGCATTGTTCCTCATGTTGTTCAAAATTTAGTTCAAGTGAATCTTTAAGTGAATGACGAACAGAAGAGGTGCCAGAGGACAGCCCTGGCGAAGCGACCGCGTCTGACGAAAAGGGGCTGACATATGTCCGTTGACCATCACAGCAGCGGTTGATCGGGAATACAGTGCTACCACCCAGTTGCAAAAGATCTCACCAAACCCCATCCATTTCAGCGAGGTTAGGACGTACGACCAGTTGACCCGATCATACGCCTTCTCCATATCGAGCAGTAGGACTGTGACATCCAGGTCTTCCTGACTGACTACTTCTAGGACTTCCACTGCCGTGACAATGTTCTCAAATATGGAACGACCTCTAACAAAGGCTGCTTGGTCATCTTCGACTAGGACAGGTAAATGTGTGCCCAGTCTCCGAGCCAGAACTTTTGCCAAAACTTTGTACGACGCATTTAATAAGGAGATAGGCCTCCAGTTACGTATTTCGCTCGTGTCTCCCTTTTAAACAGAATCGAAATAATGCCCCTGCAAACGCTGTTTGGAAGACTACCGCCCAATTGAATCTCATTATAAATTTGTACTAAGTCATCCCCTAGTACATCCCAATGCTTGCGGTAGAATTCTGTTGGTAGACCATCGTTGTCCGGTGTCTTTCCATTCGCCATTGCCTTCAGCGCATGTCCTGCTTCCTCCTTTGTTATTGGCCGGTCCAAATCCAATCTTCCTTGTATAGGCAGCCGAACCGTTGTATTGTTCCAGTGATCCGAGTTGGCTGCCAAATCTGTGTCGACTTCTTTCGTCTGCCTCCGCGATGTCAGGATGCCCTGAAAGTAAAGCGCAACGTACCTGCATAGTGCCTCGGGTTCTGATGCCACTGGTTCGTCCGGGTCAAAGAGATGTTTGAGTTCCTTCAGACTTGTAGCCGCTTTGGCCGGAATAAGCTTCTGGAACGTTTCTCTTGACATCCGATCATACACTTCCAAGCCCTTGACTTTCAGTCTCTCCGCCCACTGCTCCGATTTCACTTGCTGCATCTCACCCCAGTCTGCAAGTCTCCGGGCTCTTTCCTTCCCCCAAGTCAGCTCTGAGATGGGATGCCTCTTTATATTCTCTTTTGCAACCTGCACTTGCTTCCAGCACTTTCTCTCCTCCTTGTTTTTGCTCAACGCCTGTATCCGCGAGAAAACATCCAGCAGTTTAGATAACATCCTTGAACCTGCCTCCCACCACTCTGCAAGTGTTGCAAAGTGGTCTTTTTGCTTTTGTCATCGCTCCTAAAAACCTTGAGTCCACCTGTTCAGTCCCTCCAACTGCAGATTTAGCGTATTTAATTTAAAGTAACCGCGTCCCCTCCTCTACTCTGGCCCAAGATTAAACTGGCCAACCACCGGTTTATGATCCGATACCGGGTTGTTCATTTCTTCGATGTAGATCAACTTCTCCTTGAGTCCACCTCCAACCAACAGATAATCAAGTCTCCTCCCCTTCCCCCTGTGAGAGAACCAAGTGAAGCCCGGATCAGTGGGCCTCAAGTCTCTATACACGTCGTGAAGGTCCAAGTCCACCATCAAATCTACCAGGGAGAGGACATCTCTCGTTGACCCTTTCTCCTTCTGGTATGTCGGGGCATCTAGCACCGTATTCCAATCGCCTCCAATTATGATGTCGTCTACGTCCGACAGAACTACCCAGAGCTCCTCGAAAAAAAAAACTCTTTCGCCCAAGTGTGCTCCTCTTGCTTCAAGACCACCCAGGCCCATCGGCCCTATAGATCAGCGAAGTAGTCCAATATCTGCGTTTCTAGGTCCCTGTGAATTAGGATCCCTACTCCTCCTTTGGTGTCCTTCGTTGCTGACCATATATGGGGCCCATCCCACCACCTTCCCAGGGCTGCCACCTTCTCGTTATCTAGCTTCGTTTCCTGGAAGCACGCGATTGAAATCTTCTTGTCGTGTAGCCACTTTTTTACCTCGCACGCTTGCTTCTTCCATATGTATCACCAAAACCCTGCAGGTTCCACGAGGCCATCTTAATTCTACCCATGCCCCAACCCTACTCCATGTTGTCTTTGGATTGGAGTAAGTGTTGTTCTCTCCACTGGCCAGCTTTGCGTTAGCGCTGACTTGAGGAAGTTGGATTCCATCTTCTTATCCTTGGGCAGCCTTAACTTCAGTTTCCCAATAGCATCGGCCGTTACCATAATCGGTGAGATCATGAATTTCGCCAGCTCGTGCTTTTTGGCCTCTGTGAACAAACTCATGGGGAGTAATCTCATCCCTTGCAGTTCCAATTCCGCTACCTTTTGCTCTGATATCCTTGCATCCACCAACGGAGTGAAGAACTTGATTTTACTTTCAGCTGGCCCGAAGAGGATTCTTGGCATCACTAGTACATCCGGAATGAGCCTCATGAGAAAGGAGTCAAGATAGAGCATCTTCAGGCAGTTTTCAACTTTCACCGTTGTCGGCATCTCCGTTACCGTTTGGCTGAAAATTTGCATCGGCCCTAATCCTTTCTGCCACGCGACCACCCATAGCGCATTCCTGAATGCGGTGCAGACCAGAGGTACCAGGCACTGCGGCATTTCCAGGGCCTGGTCTCGTGCTGAGACTAACCTTCGATCCCTCGTCGTCTTCTTTCCAGGAGTTCCCAGATCGAAGTCTTGCCCAACCGATTTCTCGGAGCCGCTCCTTGATACTCTCGAGGTTCCGGAAGGTTCTAGGGTTAGCTCCGGCTGAGATGTCATGCTGAGCCTTCTTTGCTTCCCTGCTACTCTTGCCCTGTTCCTGTTCCCGTCCAACTCCATGCTTGGGCCACCCCGGCCCCCCCTGTTCCTTCCTTGGACCCACCTGCCCGTTGTTGTGCACCCTCGGGGATTCTTTGCCCTCCGCCCTGCGAACCAACTGGGGTTGTCCCTTGCTGGAACACTCTCCCATCTCCCTGACTTCCCCCTGCATTTCCCCCTTGTGCGTTTAACATTCCCGCCCATAGAGCTGGATGGATTCCATTAGCGAACAGTCAGTCCGTGGACGTTCCTCCCCCTTGCCATCCCCCCATCTGTCCTCCCTGATGGATGGGCATACCGTAGAATCCCTGTCCTCCATTTTGAATCAGGCCCTGAGGAAGCCCTCCTATTAAACCTCCCCCCATCTGTCCTTGGAAGATAGCTCCGCCACCTTTCCCCCCTACACCTTCCACACCCCCCCATTTGCTGCACTCCTTGCATGCCACTCCCATTCCCTTGTGGTGAGAAGGTTGGGTTTAACCGTACGATCGCTGCATGGCTTGCCGTCCCAGATGGAAGTGGTGTTGCTGGTCTTGGGCCTAACGGGCCATGATACCTTGTACCCTGGCCTCCGTTATTCGGCTGCAATGCTTGATCTTGGCGCTGTAGGGATTGTTGACGACTTGCTCCGAATCCACCCGCTTGGAGCCCGCCATTCCTCCGGCATTCCTAATCTGAGTGGAAGAATTGCTTACATAAGCGACACTTAATTGTGCCCGCTGATGCCAGGTTTATTTCCAAAATATCTCCCTTTGCCGTTTCCACCCAGATTATATCCTTCATGTTCGCTCGGGCCTCAGGCACCAAGTCAAAGCGCGCGTTGACTAATGCTGGCCTCCTCGGGTCCGCATCCGTCAGATGTGCAAAGGTTATCTTCTCTATAGCTCTTTCAATTTGTGCATAAATAAAAGGCATATCATCTAACGAAATTTGAAGTGCCATCACCCAACAGACACTGTCCTCCTCCTGTTTCCTCAGATCCCTAAATTCCGCACGAGTCATCCACGGTTTAAATAGAATCTTATAAGTTGTATCCCCTAGGGACACTTCTACTTGTTGTTCTGCTATCATGAACTCTGCTACTTCTTTGGCCTTCGCCACGTAAGATGCGACTCCGGGTCCTTCAACCTTGATCCTCCCCCTCTGTTGATTCTGCAGCAAAGCTTCATTCCCCAAAACCCAGCCATGTTCGAAAGCTCTCACCAAGTCATCTTTAATCCTCTTCGACAGGAACCTTGCAGCATCCCTGAAAATGACTGCTCGTTCTTTGAGCCACTTAATCTTAATCTCGCGAAGCGAGGTGTTCAGTTTGAACCTGGCTACTCTCTCTTCTCTCACCATCTCCCTTGGATCTATCTCCGTAGGATACACTCCATCGTCGAAACACAACTCCAACAGACTCCTTATTCTATCTTCGTCCTCCCAATAGTCCCTCTCTTCCAAGGGGTCTGCCGAAGGGGATCTCCCAGTACCTTCCTGCGTCGATGTCTCCGCCATCTTCCAGGTTTCTTCTTGACAGGTGTTCCTTGTCTCCTTCACGTACTTCACTCTCTTTGGTATCTGCTCTCTACACCAATCGCTACTGACTAAGACAAACGACATGCCACGAGCAACATGCAACGGAGGGGAGGTTTCGCTACCTCCACCTGTTAACCTCTCCTATGGCTAGTGCATCGCCATATTCGTTCCTCAAGGGAAACGCGTGGAGGGTCGACTCCAGGGCGATGTCTGCGATGGCAGCGTCCTGAATGGCGGCTCGAGTTCTGCCGAACCCGGTCACGTGTAGCGGAGCGCAGGTGCGCCGGCTAACGCAAGGTCGCTGACCCCCGCCTTTTTCTATTATTTTTCTCTTTCGCAGTAATCATGGTGGATCTCGTTTTTTTTTTTTTCTTCTTTTTTTGGATCTCGTTCTAGTGCTCCACGTGGAGATGCAACTCGACGCTTGCACAAACAAAAAAAAAACCCTCGACCCTTGCTATCACCATTTGTACTGAGTTTTTTTGGACCTGATCGCAGTCAGATACATACAGGAACGTCCTGATATTTATATCATGGCACACCGAATCTAAATCATGACTCGAACTGAATCTGGCCGTCGGTGGGGAACGGGAACCCTTCGTGGAAGCGTTGTGCTACCGATGATACCGCCGTCCGAAAACGGCGGCGCTCTGCGTCGGCAACAAGATGCGGGTTACGGGGCGTGGGACGGAGCTATGGAGTACTCAGTACTCCGCAGGTTCAGCCATCTCCCTCAACCTCGATAAGGGGCTGTGTCTTCCTGTGGAATACCAGGGAGTAGGGTGGTTCCGAAACCCTCTACAACCTTCAATGCTCAAATTTCAGGCTATTGCAACCTCTGTATGAACCCCGTTTTGGGGAAACATACATGACCAATGACACGAAGAAGGAAGAGTGAGTCCAGTGCACGGCGAATGGTGAGAAAGACAGCGGCACTTCCGGGAGCAGTGGGAGGGCAACTGGCAGTGGTGGGACTGTTGTTGTGAGGAGCACAAGCCAAGTACTAGCGACTACCTCAACCGGGACCGTGAAGACTCGAAGTATGAGAAGACCTGAAGCTCTACAGGATGATGTCCCCTTTGGGAAGTGGGAGTTTCACTAGTGATCGTTGTCGGGACTGGTGAGTCCCAAATAACTTCTCATTACTTGAGAGACTCAATATGGGCAAACTGTCACAACAAGAAATCTGGAGTGAGGAGGCGAGAGAGAGAAAAGGCAAAGGATTAGGCCGCAGGAGGAAGTGATGTCCTGGGGGGAAGAACCACATGACTCGGAGAAAAGAACTAGCGATGGCAAGCAAGCGAGCGCAAGAACAGGGATACATAGAACATAGTATGAGGCCGGAAGGGCCGTTGGAACGCAATAAGACTAAGGCCAAAGGGCCCTTGAGCCAGCAAAAGCAGCATGGCATCAATAAAGGAATGAGGGAGTCGAGGGATGGGCGGCCCAGAGGCCGCAGGTAGATAGAGAACATTGGGTCGACTTGGCCACCTACGGGAGCCTCGGGGTAGAGCCCGCAACTAAAGGAACCGGCGTGCGCTAGGCGCAAGAAAAGACAAGGGAGAGAGGTCACCATGGGGCGGCAAAACGCCCAAGGGACGTGGGACACCTCGGGGAAAGGCACCCAGGGCCAATAATATTAACACCACTAGTGCAAGCACTAGCGATGGCAAACGAGAAGGCCAAAAGGAAGAGAAAAAAATAAAAAAAACTGAAGTAGGAGGCATGGGAGCAATCCGAAAAATCTCGGAATAGCCTCCCTCAAGAAAATGAAGTCAAAAAATACCCCATGTGAAAAATAGCCCTCCGGGAGAAAATCGGAGTAGGAGGGGTCACGATGGGAGGAAAATAGGAGTAAAGGGAAGCTCTCATGAGCATCATGAAAAGACCATTATTGCAGTCCGAGATATAACGGACCGCACTTTGGGCATAGGAAGGGTCAAGCTAGAAAAGGGCCTTAACGACCACTTAACACTTGACATGTTAAAAAAAAAAGAGAAAAGAAAAGAAAATGTGGAAAAATAAAACAAAAAGAGTGAGAGGGAGTGAGTGAGTTGGCCGTCAGTAGGGACTGCCACAAGTAGGGACTGGCAGATCCCTACTGTCCAAAAAAGGAGGAAAATAAAATAAAAGAAAAGAAAAGAAAAGAGAAAAAAACCTTAACGGTAAAAAACGGTCACTTGGGGAGATTCGTCCGTGACCAGATTCATTCTGGAATATGGCGGTTACAAAGGACTTGGATTTTCTTTGATTTTTGCAGAAGAAATCAAAGAAAATCAAGGCCCCATGCAACCGGAATAAAATGGATTGTATGCATGAGGAGAAACACATGTTTTAGGTGCATCCGGAACCAAAATCAAGTCCGGATGCACTTGGGAGTTTGTCGTTTATTTTTCTTTTGAGTAAGGGCTAGTTGTGGGGCATTGGGGCTAAGGAATTGACCCCCATTGCAGTCCGAGTCGCAATGGACTGCATGGGGATGCCTAAGCTAAGGGAAAATGAGCCACGGCAAGTCCGGAAGGCTAGAAAGAAGCAATTTCGGCATGGGGCAAGTAAAGACGGTAAACGGCAACCGTGAGATGAGATCTCACGGCCTAGAAAAATCGACACGTATGTAGAAATGATGGGACCACCAAGGACAAGGGGCCCCAAAAATAAAAATGGGACGCCGTCCGAAATGTTGTCGGGGGCTAAGTGGGTCCAAATAATTAAAATCGGAAAACTGGACATGCGCCGGCGGTCCCGCCGGCGGGACAGCATGGAGAAAAGTGGCGGGGACTTGGAATGTCCCAAGGGGACCATGAGCAAGCACAAATAATAATTGTGCAAATAAATGGCACCGTCGAGATCAAGGATCTAGATGGTGGAAAATATTAGCACCACTAGTGCAAGCACTATTGGGGGCAAGTGGGAGAGCCATGAGGAGAGAAGAAAGCAAAATAATAGTGTTGGGAGGGCTGCCCAGCAATCCGGGATATCTCGGATTCGCTAACGCTTGAGAAAATTGAGCCTCAAGAGACTCAACATGAGAAATAGGTTGTCCTTAGGAAATCGGAGCTAAAGGGGCTTAAAAATGGGCAAACGGAAGCAAAGGGGAGCCCTCTAGGAGCATGGGGGTGCCATTGTTGGAATCCGAGATATAACGGCCAAGTAACAGCCATGAACCTGGCCTTGAATGAGGCCTTAGGGCCTAGAAAGAGGGTGCACTACAGTTTGACACTTGTCACAACTGAAATAAAGGAAAAATAAAGAAAAAAATCAGAGAAAAAGGAGGGAGAATGAGACAAAAGGGGAGAAAAGAGTGGAGGAGAGTGTGCCGACCTATTGGGACCTGCACAAGTAGGGACTGTCAGATCCCAACTATGATCTCATCCCTCCTAGAATGAGGGAGGGCAATCCGGATTGTAGAGATATGACCCTTGGGGCCATATCTTAATAAAATCTGAATTAAAAAGCAGAAAATAAGAGAAAATGCAAAAAGAGAGTGGCCGGCTTTCTGTTGGACCATGGATCCGAGATCAGATCTCATGGTGGAGAGGAACTAGCCGTTTTTTGCGGGCCAGCTCAAAACGGCTAGCTCCGGAATGAGGTGGCAGCAAAGAAGAAAAGAGACAAAACTGTACATTTGTCCCAATAAGAGAGCCAAATGCACCAAAAATTGAAAAAGTGGACTTA